CAAATCGGCCACCCTAACCATTTCTGCTCATATAGTCAATGTTCACTTTGTCTGGTTTTGTTACAGTCTACCCCGTATAGCAGGTCAATTATTATTTAATTTCCGTACATTGATAACATTGTTAATCTCTAATATAAAATATATACATATACAATACCAATACGTTGATTGACGTTATGTCTGTAAATGCTAAGCAATCTTTGTCCGGTTTCCGCATTTTTGTTGTCCCACATGTTTCTGTTTGTTCTTGTTGTCAGAGCAACATTCATTTTAGTGGTTCGAGATGATTGACCAAAGCTAATTGGTAATTTGATGTGATCATAGATCAGATTAATTAATAAATAATGCTTGAATTTATTTGCCGATTAGCATATTATAATGAATACCATATTAAGTTAGCGTGGAATGATATATGCATAAAGTTTCTCTATAAACAATACAAATTCGGATTACTATATAAGTACAATCAAATAAAAATTCGGAATCAATAAACTAACCCTTATTCCGACCAGTGAGAAGAATACATTTGTAATATCTATGAAACAAACACTAATGAATTTGAAACTCGTGAAGAAATCAGCAAACAAAGTATACAAGAAAGGGACTGACGATTACATTATCGGCATAATACTAGCAAATGTGTAATCTGCGGTTTGGTGTAATATTAGTTTCATTGTTTTTTGATCGTTCTATGCATTCCAGAGTTTTTTTTTTGGTAGAATTTTTGTGGCGTCCACTGTTTTTTAATACACATGTTTTAGACGACCGGTAGATAAACGCGTGATACTACATGTATTAGGTGAAAGCGTCTAAACATATGCGTATGTAACAAGTCTATATGCTACAAGTGCGAGTAAATTGTTAACAAATGACATCCTGCATACTATTGTTCTGTATTTATTGTTCTCAAAAGGTTTCATGTGAATATTTAATAATAAAGACGCGTGCGTGGTGAGTATCAATGAAACAACAAAGCAGATAATTGGGTTATTTCTAATGTTTTGAACTTAATTCAAAATTCAAGCAGACGAGTGTAATGTAACAAAATGCACAGCAGCCTTGTGTCACAAAAGTAACATAGGATTAAGGCAATCGAAATAAGAGATTTTCCAATGAAGGTATCAAAAATTTTATAGCGTACTTACTTTTAAATATAAACCCTCATGGACAAATCATAATCCGCGAGAGAACCCTGTATCTAATATAGCACGACAAGGTCCGGTCATTTGGAAAAAGTTTTTTGATTTGTCTACCTTGACCTAGATAGACTTTTATACTCCTGACAACTCCTGGAAGGCATCATAGATATAACAGCGTCTGCATTAGTATATATGAAAAAGTGGGCTAACTACGTTAAGTCAAATCAAGTCAACGATCAGGAAAACGTAAACTATGCCTGATTAGAGTTTAGCGAGACTCGACACATTAAAATGAGCTGACTTTCTTTTGTAACACTATGGTCATATCACGCCAATCATACTACCACCAATTTAATTATCGCTTGCCTACTTACAATTTTATTGGGCGAGACACTGTTGGGAAGGGCGGGAATGCGTGTATTACAAGAGTCTAGTCTTGTGTATATTAGTAAGAGTGGTAACAAAGTCGGTGGGAATAAACTAATTGTTTATATATCGTACGTTATGCTGTCCTACATCATTGTTTCACTGCTTTTATATGTTTATGAGTTTATCTCTACATACAACAGTATGTATGTATGCTATGTTGGCGTAGAAATCATCCAATGAAAGTGAACTACATCGGCTGGGAAGGAAAAAAAACAAGTTATGAATGTATCAATGTCAGAAATGAAACCAGCATGCTGATATTTAATATTTATGACATCAACTCTATTGGTCGATTATGTGTACCTTACGAACTCTGGGTATTTGTGCACGTGGCGAATATATTAAAATTGTTCGATACAAGTTTAAATCTATTGTATATACTGTGTATATTACGTAGCAAGTAAAAAAAATTTAATTATTCAGGATAATTGCAACGCCGAAACCTAATTTCTGAAAACGGCATTTTGCGATATCACTTCAGGGGCGGTCGGGCTATACAAAACTTTATCGTATAGCATTATCCAAATAATCTTATGGGGGGGGGGGGGGATTCGTTGAGGTATTGCGACCTCTTGGCATTTTGCTGATTTTAAATACGTTCACGAAAAAAGTCGTCGTATTCGCAACATCTAGCTTCCCATATCGGCAAATGCACGATCTTAATAATAGATGTTTGTTTATGTTACCAGTGAACCAAACATTATATCGTCTTAGGCGCTTATTCGACCCCCTGTTTTGTCACAAACAAAACAATTCTGTTTAGCGAAAGGAAACAGTACATTAACTTTCCATTAATATCATATCCACGCACACCTAAATAACGTCTTTGTTTAGCCAAGGAACCAGAGTTGTGGAGGGAAAGAAGAGAAAACTAGATCATTAGTAGTTGAATATGGATTACTAATATGATATCAAATTGGGAATGAATTAATTAATAATGAAGTAAGCATGTTAAACGGGATCCTAAGAATGATGTAATCAAGTGTAATACTCTAGATAATCACCAGAGATATATTAGTCATATCACAAAGATTGTTTATATTCGGTTGTGATGATAAGATGTCTTTATTGGGTGATAAGGGCATATAGGTGATAAGCATGCGAAGCAATCAAGATCAAGTCTATTCATAGTCGCCATCATGAATGCTCACATTGGTCGCACATCCTCTCCTGCTCTTTCTTTCGCTAACTATCGTCAGATCCGTCTAGTAACACTAATATACAAAGCACAAACAAACGATAAAGGAATATGCCCTGCATGTAATTATACCAAAGATGATACATTTACGTACAACACGCAGTCCATGCGGGTAAAGATAGGGGTCATGTAAAGGCGAAGAAGGAAAATATATCCACACTCGGTAATCATTAGACGCAAACACATAATATAAATATGCATTCATTAGATATAATTATGCATTCATTGCTCCAATCCCTGTTATATTCCGGACACACCCTGAATAATGCGTATGCGGGCACATGATAATCGTTTATGTTTTCCCTTTATGTTTTTAAGTTAAATTAAATATCAACGTGCAAGTATATCGAAAGTTTGTTAAAAAGTCATATAGTTTTATAAGATCTAGACGTTTGTTTCCCCCCAAGTTTTCTCACATCAAGGTCATGTTACCTTTACTCTGCAAAGTTAAAGCTTTTCCGAATATCCGAATTGACCGAATATTGAAAGTAGAAAGGAAACAGGGAAAAAAAAAGCATTGCCGAATATCTTTGGCCATGCACTAAATATATAGGGGGGGTCTGTGAGAAGTTTCTCCAATTAAAGTTTATTTTTATTGCGCCATATACAGTAAATAATGTAACTGTAAACAAAGTTTATGTTCCACCTTTCGATAGGTATCCCCTCTCCCAAAATATCCTTTGTCCCATTACCAACGTCTATTGGATATTCGGCTGCGACAATTAACAGCGTGGTGGTATACCACCGTCAAGCTGTCCCGGATGTGCCAATAACCACGTAACTGCAAAGAACAAAGAGAATACTCAACGTATAAATGATTTGGGAGAAACATAAAATGTTTCCAGAATAAAGAACTTGGTTGTATGTTCAACTCATGTGACACCATCCAAATATTAAAAGCATATCGGAGATGTATTACAAGTACACCACGGGCATATTATTATACCGTAAATGTTATATTGTATTGATATATCACCAGTAATAATAAAGACTTGGGGAAGAGGATAGACTAAAAAGAACAAAAAAAAAGGAAACTATACTCGATTCTATACTACCCCCTTTTTCTTATCACAGAAGGACCGATCATTCTATTTCAGGTCTAATTAGAGACAAAAACATTTCATCTATTTACCAAAACCTGCTGCATCTCAACCAAATATCCTCTGCTTATTGGAAGGTCTTATTTACGATGTTTACATGCACTGATCTTCGCCGAGAAGGTTTTGTTGCTTTTATTTGGTGATATTAGTGTTTGTGATAGAAAAGATGGGGCGATGCAACCTTTTGTTTATATGTAAAAACGATGAAAGAGGGCGCATAAAGAGAAAAATGAGATGCACGGAGTGAGAACAAGAGAAATCCTCCAATCGAACGAATTTGTGCTGCGGATGTATACCAATTAGATGACATCGATAGGTGTCTATCAAGTATCTGCAATCGTTGTATTTTTTTACAACGCGTATTATTAAAGCGATACTTTGTTAATAATAATAATAATAATAATAACGAAATTACCATGACGAATACCCCCCAGTGTAGTAAATGAAATGAAATGCAATGCAATGAAAGAACAACAACGACGACCCTAACAACGACGACTCTTGAACGATAACGATACGATAGTAACATACTTAATTTTGCAAGTGTCTCTATAAAGTATGACATTTCTTGGGGGCTTTAATACTAGTTTCGAGGTGACGATAACGAAAAAGTTCTTGTGGCTAATCATAAGGAAGGAGTGCATCGTTGCATTACACTTCTGCAGCCCTAGCAGTTACTAACGAATCTAAAAATACTCTTGTGTAAAATACGTGATCTAACCATATTGGTCTTGCTCATACCTTCCCTCTCCCCTGTTCACGGTTAAACTCCCCCCCCAAAAAAACTCGTCACATCCAAACAGAAATATCGCTAAATGATTTAAATATTTATTTTGTATTTTACAAAAATTTTTTATTTTTTATCATTAACTTACAATTGGAAATTATAAGCAAGAGAAAAAAAAAACACTCGATTTAAAAGAAACCTTTTCTTCTCTCTCTACTCTAGTTTCTATTTGTTTGTTAGTAGTATGTTCATTATATGTATGGAGAGTCTTTTTTTTTTACCTTCTTGCTTTCTCTGTACAAAAAAAGTTAGCGCTTGAATAAATTCAGCAAATGAAAAAGAAATAAATAATACAAGAAAAATAGAAACAAAAAAGTAAAAGCAAATAAATAGTAGATATGTTCCCATTAAACTATGAAACCCCAGCAACCATCAGGCGTTGTCTGTACCGTTGTCTGTAGTTCATTATGCTGTACATGTTGGACCGGTACCACCACCCCCTCCATAACGTCTGTAGTCATGTTTACAATATCACAAGGAAAATCATTAACACTCTGGGCCACTTTGCCTTCATGAATTGTCTGTAGAGGTATTTTGGAACAACTACCACAGTTGCTGCAAGCACCACCGCCCACTCCAGACCAGGGAGCAAAGCCAAGTGGTGTAGTAGGCGTTGGAGGTGCTACTGCCGCCGCCGCTGTGGCCGTTGTCATCGGAACTACCCCTGGTATGCTCATTACCCAAGCATCCTGAGGAAGATTGATGGATAGATTGGAACTAAGTGAAGGTTGCGAAAGAGGCATCGGGTTGGATGTGGATGATGGATTGGGGTTACACGAAATATCCTCGTAGAATTTGAATTCATTATCAAGCGATTGAAATGGTGGTGTCATCATTTGTGGAACAGGTGCAGCAACGGTCGGGGTCGGAGCAGCAGCGGGAGTATTGATGATGTTGGATGTAGGAGAAATATGATTCGAATTCTCCGAAGCGACCGAAGCAGAGTCACGAGCGAAAAGCGCAGAAATGTCGGGCGTTACCATGTCAGATGTTCCAGAAGAAGTAAGAGTTGCTGAATTGTATGCTCCTTGGCTGAGTATGAGTTTGAGAATTTCCTCGATCACAGCTTGTTCAGATATAATAGTACCACTAGCATCAGTGAATTCTGCACCTATTAGTCGCTCTCCCGTCAACGGAAATTGCCCACCATTCAATTGGCTATCAAATTGAATCTGAGGCTCGGTTCCCAACTGAGCGTAATTTGATAATTGTCCTTGCTCAGGTTGTGCGTGCACAGATGCAAACTGTCCCGAAACGAGACTATCATGTAATACATTATCCCAGGATATAACTGTAGGGGTATTGGGTGTCTCGGGTATGCATGCATGCTGAGATGCGTGTTGGGAAGTTATTTGTGCAGCGGATTGCTGTTGTAATGTAAGTATTCGGGGTTGCGGCGGTTGAATAGGTTTCTTCTCTTCCTCTAAATCAAAGACTGTAAATGCAGATTCCATGGATGCCTGTTTTCTGTGCTCTATAGGCACTTGATCGACATTCTTTTCGTCTTCGTTCTTATTATTATCCGATGAACCACTTGAATTCTGTCCCTCTTTTCCTTTTCCCTTGTTCTTTTTTGGTTTGTACTTGTAGAATGGATACTTCTTTTTGTGTTCTACCAACGCCAGGTCAGCTTCTCTCTGGTAGCGCAGTTTTATGTGTTCAGGCTCCTCTCGCCACATCTCTGCCACAGTTTTCGAAGGATGACGATCATCAGAGACTGACCGTTTGACGGCTGCTAATTCCTTAGATTTAGTTCGATGATAGATGATGAACGCATTAGGTGGTCTTGGAACTTTGGAGTCGTAAGGTTTAGGTGAAGGAGAGGCGCCTCCTGACAGCCGACGTTTCTTTATAGTCTGTTTAAAAAATATTAACAAGTTAGGTCGATAAAATTTACATAGAGCTGATTGATTATTACAAAAGCTATAAATATAACCCCGCATTCAATTCATTTAGCTTAGCATATCTGCAAGCAATTGATACATGCATAAAGATACATCCTGATGCATAAACTCCAAAATTATTCAGCCACAACTATTTTTTCGATTCTCTCCTACACGTTTGATATTCTCCCGCATTACCTGGTTATATGCGTCTGATGCCCATGATAATTGACCTTTGTTAAGATCATTATGGATCTCCTGTTTCATAACTTGTTCACCGAGTGGCTGAGGAGTAACAATTTTATTCTGTTCATTTAACGGAGTGGTTGGTTTAACGAATATTTGAGGCTGCTTGAATGGGAGAGAAAATCCTTTATCTTGTACAAGCGGAGAATTACCAATTGGCAATTCAAAAGGAGGCGAAGAGAGAATGGATAACGCGGTCGAACGGTCTAAGGCGTGAGGGGAGGTGTTATGTGTAGGAAGAACGGTAGTCATGGCGGGGTTAATAGAGGGAGAAGCGGAGGTCTCGTAGGCGTTCCAAGCATGTAACAGACTTTGGTCCATCAGTACGAGAATGATAAAAGGGGTTTTATGATATGATAACGTGTGTTTTATTAACTAATGAAGGGAATTTAGACTTTTAATGTTTCCCAATGACTGATCTATGTTGTTTGTTGCACGTCTGTCTTCTAAATAAGTATAGAACAGTTGAGGGAGTTTATAAACAACAACGCTGATTCATTAGGAAGGCAAAGGGATTATACGCATACAACCATTATAGATGCACTTTAAACAAAGAGCAATTTCAAGAAAAACGAAAAGCGGTCGGGGAAGCCATATTTTTATACAAAAACCAAACATATTACACACTCATTTGATTGGCCGGAACCAAAAGCTCAAGTTTTTTCCAGTTTTGCATTACGATATTTAAACTGTGTAACCTCCGTACAATGTATAGTTTTTTTTCCTCACCCCCATTTCATTTATAACGAAATTGGTGTATTCAAATAAAATTAGGTTTCCGGAAAAATTCCTTCTTGACCAAAATCTTTCACTTACATATTACTGTATTATATATCGGCCGTTCATTTTGCCATTATCCTACGCACTACCCCACTCATTTACCCCACTCATCATCGACCGCATAACATCGCATAGTATGCTTGTTGTTGGTTTTTTTTCGGTAATAGAGAGCTCCGGCGAATATATTTATACATACATGTATTTATTCAATATGAACTGTATACTCTTTGTTTCGCTTCTAAGCCCGACCGTGCGGTAGTATTGATGTATACCTAGAATGTATTACTAACGTCCAAGATTTCATTTGCTAATAAATAAGGATTATCTAATTATGTATAAGTATGGCTGTCTTATAAGTTCCTTCTTTTCCGGATTATACTTACCTAACCGAACTAAGCAATATTTCACAAATTTATTAGGCGGAGTACCTTTTTAAGTTTATACGCATTGTCGATTTTAAGTGTTTGCATTTCCTATCCTCGGCGACAAAAACATTACTATATGTAGTAATTACCTAGCAGTTGTTAGACCCCGGAGTAAATGCATGACAAATTACTATAAATATCGATTACAAGACTACAGCTAACAGGAGGACGAACAATTTGTTATTCATCGATAGCTTTTGATATGAAATTAATAAAAAATTGTATCAGCATATGTTATTCTATAATTGCCATTTGAAGGTCTTAATGTATTTGTATTATATTAATCTATGCATAATGGTGGTTACTGCATAATAGAATGCATCCTTAAATCGATTGCGTTCCATTTCTGATTGGGTAGAGTTAACCAGTAGAATGTGTGTTCTTCATGCAAATGTATTTGCTACAGCCACCAAGCCAAGCCAAGCGAGCGCGCTACTCAATCTGACAATTAGACTAACGACAATGTTCTGATATATTATGTTGATATTAATAGGAGCAACATATTCGCTAACACGGCATTTTCATGCATTGGTCAACATAGTTTGTAACACAAATATCGAGTTTTATTAATAGCATCATTGTATTAAAGAGCATTTGCTGAAAATAAAAAAGAAAGTCGGAAAAGCTATTTGTTTGGTGCACAGAGATCAATACAAGAATGTGAACAGAAGCAAGTGGAATAAAAAAGCTGATTATGCAAAAGGTACAGGTTATACTTAAATACGGGCAATTTTATAAACATAAATTTAAGTTTCTATTATTGACCACATTCGGAAGTGCATCTGATTATTATAGGTGCCGATATCTCAGCAAAAAATTCCGCCAATTTGCTCTTGTTTCCATCATGGACAACGAATATGTCTCGGTTCTTTTTGCACGCCAAACAGTTTACTGAGTAACATGTTTACGTCATCAAATCACGTATAACAAACAACGGCTTTTATAACAAGGAAAATCTTGTAAAACACTATACTTGACCATAGAATCACACCATCTCTTTCTTCCAGTAGTAAAGTATACTACACGTGACTGCATGCGTTTACGACTATATACTGGTACAGAAACAGTTGCGTGATATTGCAATATCCAAAAGTGCATATTCATTCTATCAAGTACAACGCCTTATATTAGACGCGTAACAAAGACATCGCCCAACGTTTTTCACCAACAATTAATATCTCTATACAATTGTTCAGGATTATCAAACATACCATTTTGCAGATTAGTTATAAAGCATGCATGAGCTTTACCGAAAGCAACAAAGATGCGTTTAAAAATTAACATTGGTGCATAAGGACCAGTATAAGATTTAACGAATATAGCTATTTGAATAACAGGTACACAAATAAAAGTATGATTATCAGTATGTTCCGACTCGACAATTGAAATGTGCGTGCGTGCATATATTTTGAAAAAAGGGTTGTTCCAATCAAGCGCAGATGGGCGTTCGTGAAAGGGAAGATGAAAGGGAAAAAAAAAGCGAGAAACAATTACATAATTTTATGAGACTGCATGCATGTAAGTTTATATTAAAATTTTATTTAATAATATTGATTTGATAATGGTATTTGTTAAATAACGGCGTTTGTCGGTATATGGCAAACAAAGAGATCCACGGGAAAGGGATGGGGTTGGGAGAGAAGCATGGAAGAAAGTTCGTAGATAAAATGTAGCTCTGTGAGTGGTGGGCAGCAGACTTTAAACAAACAAATAAGCTGACAAACTAATCGATGAAACCAACAATAATTGGATGAATGTTAAGGGCTGCGAACGAAACAATGCATGCAAACAAGAATAAGAGAAATGGTCATTGATAAGAAAGTTCAACCGTTATAATACGTTTCATTTTCTATTATACGGCAATCCGATATATTTTTAATGCATAAAATCAATTATACTATATTGGGTATAATAATAAGCTGATGAGAGTTTCTGATCACTAGTTACTCTTTTGGCCATCGACATTATTGTCATCATTACTGCTTTCTGACGAGACGGCTAGATCCCCCATTGACGATTGCAGTGTCACACTTGCACCTGTATTCCAGATTTGAATAAAATAATTCACACCCATCTGTATCGATAAACATTTCTTTGACTCATCTACTACAAATTCACGTTTATATCAACCATTGATTACCGGTTATTGTTACCGCCTAGAGTTTTATTACTGAGCCACCTCCCGTCCCCACAACTACCAACTATATTACAATTTCTTTTGATATTCGCATTATACCAGTACCCGTCCATCTTTGCCAGCAATAAACAACAAAAGTTTTATTGGGAACACCAACATCCAGCGCATCGTCCGAGAGTCAGTTACTACGGACAATGGGTGTAGCGACAATAGAAAAACAAAAATAAGACAAGCAACATTAGGTTATATAGGTAAATATTATCTGAATAAGTAGAATTGAATGTGGGGGCCATTTAGTGACAATATTTACTTGAACAATGAATGCTTTATTACGAGTGTTTAGGAAAACACGCGTGAGAGAAAGAAACAATGCCAAAAGCAAAGTGATCAGGCTGGTAACATCAAATTAGGGTGACAACAGAGAAGAAATAGTATTAATTAAAGGTTGGCGTATTCATGATAGACGACTAGTAATAATGTTAATATTGTTGTTGAGTTTTGTAGTAAAAATCAATAATTAGCTGCAGCCCAAACTTTAAAAATGAAACCGTCTGCTTATTACTTGCACAATAATATTATATGATACCATCACGCACACATCCTACCCCACACTTTCTTTTAGTCTTGCGTGCTGTTGCAATCGACAATACAATCATTGTTGCTGAGTCTTACCAGGATGTACAGTTTTTAATCGAAAACGTTATTTGAACCAATCCAGCCCAATCATCAATCATTAAAAAAGAACGCAGTTGACAAATAGAGAATATTATAAATAACAACTGGCGATAAAAAGCACGATACTGATAAGAATAGGTGACAATAAAAGACATTGAGATCATGGATAATAATAGATAACAAATGACAATGTTATCCTAGCAATTTACGTTTGATAAGTTTGATAATAATGGCAAGCATTGTACTAAGGATATTATTCAACATCCTGATCGAGATGACGCACCTCCATAGTTATGTTTCATATGTATATAATTAAATACATCGATTGTTCTCTTAATTACTTATTTTTTAGTCCGATATCCTGGTGGTTGGAGTCAAGAGTGTTTAATAATCGTTCGTCATACGCAAAACCACAATATATGTGTAATTTATATTGTATAAGCAAACGTTGTATGAGAGTGGCCCAATAAACATTGGATAAGCGTTACGCAACCACTAACGACACTAGATTACGTCTCTATCTCTTTATTAGCCCATATTACTTTTGAAAATGGACGATTTGGCTAGTCAAGAATGCATATATGTCACAACAGACGGATAATGAGACATTCTCATTTCCCCACTTTTCAAAACGTGCATAATGACTACTGCAGAAAACCACAGACCATCGTTGCAGTCTTTGAATGGGTTGGTATTTTAGTAGATATGGACTTCCATAAATATCAACATCATCACGTGGTACACTCATTTATCGCTCTATAATGATTTCCTACTTAAAGATCACAAGACACTATGTCCAAAGATAGATAAAGTTTGACCAAAAATTGATAATTGGGATGTATGTTCTTAATATAGGACAAATGTATTAATAGCTGATTATTAATGGTTGAGCGAAAGCTCACCTACAATTACAAATGTAGTCGGCGACTGTTCGCAACTGCCTAAGCATCTTGCATACGCATGTAAACGTATGCATATTAATACGTACAATGCCTCTCTCATTACTGAGCCCATCCACTTCTCTCACCCCCCAGATTTTGATCGATCACACTGTGTTACTTGTACCCCCAAATGTCGCACTGTCCATATCGAAAAGAATGCCGGAATCACCAAATTAAATATTCCGTTCTTCCAACCCACCATCGCTTTTTTTTAAGTGCATACATGCATTGCTCTCATTTCCACATGTCATGCGAAAGGACGAATTAAAAATCTTTTCCAACGGTTTTTTTCCATTCAGTTTAACTTATGTAAGAAAGGTTATTTAAGTGGGAGATTGGTGTAGTCAATTAATATTGTTTTGATGAATGTGCATTGATATTGTTCCGAATTTGCTTTTTTACTTTACTGATAAGTAAAAGATGGGTGAATGGAATAAAGCAGTCCTCTTAACATTGTAAGAACCGGTTACTGATGTTGAATGTAAATAGATTATCTATAGATTTTTATGCTCATTAGAATAAAAGAATTCAAGCTTGTCCTTGTAACCCAAATTAAATGTTCCCCCGACTGATTGACCTGGTCATAAGAGACGGAAGAGAGAATCTTATTTGAATGTAACACAATAAATGTTGCCGATTATTTACTCGTTCAAATAATTCTTGCATTTTATTCGCACATTTTCTGTTCATATTCCAAACATTTCTTTCTTTTCTCGAACAAGAAAATACGTATGTTCATGCAAGTAAACAGTAAACTTGAACACAATGTTTTAGTGAAAAGAAAAAAGAATAAAGTTTCCAAGCTGGTGTAGAAAGAAATATGAGAGAAAGAACACAAACGAAATGAATAAACAAGCTGACGAAAACAAGTTAATAAACAGGTTATTCGACGAATAGCTTGATCAAATCAAATGCAATTAATAACACTGCTAATTGTTACGATGATAAAGTATGAGTCAAGTATGTAAATTCGGTAACCACTCATTCTACCTTTAGAACATGTAGCGGGACAGTGAATGCATACCACACACTATGAGATAAAGAAACCATCATTTTTGACATAACTGGGGTCCAGATGTTGCCAAGATTATTCACTGAAATTATGGTTACAGTAATTTATTGATATTATAATCATGTTCGACATTCCCTGCAAAGTATCCCACAAGCCCTGTAAATATAAACATCGTTCGGTATTCCCGCATTTCCAACATATGAGCGTTTATCCGCATCTGTATGTATGATTACCAAATCTGCTTACAAACTGCATCCACCACTTGGCTCTACCTTTACGCATATATTTATTCCTTCGTTCCGAGGTTTTTTTGCCTTCAAACCAAGAATTTCCGTTCTCTTTCTACCCGCAAAATTTGTGCAACACTATCCCGTGATACGATGCAGACACAAAGTAAATGTGACATGAATTTTTAATAGATGTGAGTCATTTGAAACATTGGGTTTTGAGACAATTACATAAAGATGGTTTGAGGAGCGGGTGTCGGGGGATGATTGAGGGGGGCGGTTATGTGATGATTGTTTAGGTGATATGTTACCTAACCGCCGCAATTATATTTACTAAACTAGTAATTTAGTGATAACAATAAAATGTAGATTTATTGGTTGCTCAATAGTAAATGATTTAACTTCATTTATTCTAACTGCGTCATTGCCACTTAATCTTACTAAAAGGAAAAACCTGACCCCCCTGAATAAATGCATGTATTTATACTATTTGTACAGTCACAAGCGTTAGCATTGTCTTCGATACTATTGTTCCTTTATTTGCGTTGCCTAAACATAATTGTTCCAGGTTTAGTTGAAAACATAACAAAACGGAATATAAATTTGATATAAATATTAGTAATATACAAATTTATTGCTACCATCAGTCGACGTTCTGTTCTCTAATTCATGCGTTACCGCGTGGCTATCTTTCTATTTTAACTTTGTGGCTACGAAGGGATAACACATTTGGCAATGATTCGCTTTCCCCGTTGAACAATCATTGTCTGACGAACAATGATTGTGTGAAATTCATACCAATAATAATCAGCTGTTTATTGATCAAATATATATAAAAGTATTTTTTATGATGCAGGTGAATACAGGTAAATGCAAGTGAATACAGACCAATACATACATACATACACACACACACACACATACATACAGTGAATTGCAAATTATACAGTTATATATCTATATATCAACAAAACAATTAAGGAATTTTGTTCTTTAATTTGTATTTTAAAACCTTTCCCCCAAAGCCATTTCAGTTGTTCATTGAACCTATAGACATTATGGTTTCCCATTCCTCATACTTGCGTCTTTCCCCAAATTGTCAGTCTTTTCCCACCCCTACTCCTTGTTTATTAGTCTTATCTGTGTTGCAAAAATTTGCAAATTCAGCGATGGACACTCAATCCAAATTAGTCATGTTCATTCACATTCTCGTTTTTTTTTTTTTCGCCACAGCCGCAAACGGTATTTATTTCAAGTCAACACCGACTAGTCTAATCCTATTCACCACACGAGGTGATTTCTAGCGAAACAACGCGAATAAAATCTAACGATTCTCATCAACAATTAGCGCTGGATCACACCCACCAAACAGTGATTGGTTCTTAGTCAGGCTCACTTACATTCAAACTACCCTCAAAAGGAGGGTTAATGGATCTCACAATGTCTAAATTAGTTACGTAAAAATGAATACAAGGCTGCGTAGTCAATTGACAAGTCGGTAGATGGACATTCAAATACGTTTTATTTGTGGTTAGATAAAGCAAGCACCCCATGATGGCGTTTAGATGTGTTCGTGTTGTGTAATCAACTTAACAAAGAGCGTATGCTTAGAGGTTCGTATGATATTGAAGATAAATAGATACGTACATTGTTGAATTGTATATTACACTTGCATTCAGGAAACCCTTTTTTATTTTTAATAGTAATAAACTCTAACTAATAATTTACTTGATTTTACTCATGTCTGGCGTTTAGAAATTGCTTATCGATCTACTATCAACTACATCCTGGGCTGACGGTCATTATACATATTCGTGTTTCGGCTTGAACTATTTTTATTTCAACCTGCATATCTCAACAAGTTTGAAATCAGGCCTTGCGGAAATTGCTTCATATTGAACCATATAGACTGTTCTTTGTTAGATATGCCAATTAGGAAAGCGCAATGAGATGCCGAACTATGTTTAATTGTTAATTAATAAACGTTCTATTGAAACTTAATAAAGTTTTATCTGCGCCGAATACTGATAAACTCCTCTAATAGAGTTACGGTTTTATCCGAGAATTCTCGTCGTTCTATTTTGAGTTTAACCCGTCCAACCCATTCATTTGAGCGAGAGTAACTTGGCCAACCAGTTAGCGATCTATATATACTATTACAATAAGCATGTTTCTCTCCAGTCATCGTACAGTTATTCAAATATAGACTTTCTGAGGCACAATGACTTTTATGTCGAAAAAGTCTTCTTGTGTTCTGGTAAAGGAAACACGTGCCAGTACTGATTATGTAATGAAAAGATCACCCCTCATAGATTGAATGAATAATTGAAGAAATTATGTCACACTTGTACATTATTAAGTTGAGACGACGAACCATCACGTGTGTATAAGAGTTCCTTTTACTTGATATTCGATTAAAGAGTAAATACAGGCAATATATATAGATATATAGAAAGATTATAAGCAAACAACAAAAGTACGGAAAATTGTTCGTTTTATCCCACCAAAAGGATAATATATGATTTCATCGTCTTTTTTTTTTCATTTTACTTTTTTTACTTTTTTTTTACCTTTCTGTTGGCTTTTCTCCCTCCAACCACGTAACAAAATTAAAATCAAAAGTCCAAGAATAACCAACGGAATCAAGTAGAAAGTAAGAAAAATCTATACAATCAACCAGCAATCAACGACCAGCAATTAAAACCCAGTAATTAATCACTAGTAATAGCCGAACTTTCTATGTATACGTCTAGCATCCAAAAGAAATAGAGTCCAATCCTGAGCTTAAAAACTACAGAGTTCTTGTGAGAAAGTGGAAGAATAACTCAATAAATCCCAAATAAGAATATAAGTCTCAGCCAGGTAATTCTACATCTCCAAAACTACTCAGCAAAATCAACTCGCAAAGTTACGCTCGTAAAAATTAAACCAACATTAAACAACTCCCCTTATTACACTCTACCCACTCGCTCAATCCTCCTATATTTACTCCTTCTACTGTTGTCTTCTTCTTCCGATTCGCTCTCACTACTCGAACCTCTCTCATCATTTCCCTCATATTCCATCTGCTGTGGTAACGCATCTATTCGTATGGTCTTTCTACCAAATCTACCTCTCTTTGATGAAGATGTTATCCGGGTGGAGACCACAGGCGGTGAGTAGGTTGTCGATTCAGGCGACGGAGAAGATGACGCTGGGTCAGAGTAAGGTGTATTAGGACGTTCTGTGCGAGATCTTCCGCTATATTTGACGTTTTGTGAAGAAGAGGAAGATGATGAGGTGGTTCGACGCATTGATTTTTTGGGCCTTATTTGCTTTCCCTCTCTGCCGTCACCCTGCAATTTTCGCCTCGTATGGGATTGTGCCCGACCCTCATCACCATCAGTCTCATTCTCGATCTCACTTTCTTCTTTTTCACTTTCCTCTTTCTCACTTCCTGATGCGTCCATATCTTGAACTACACTAGGTAATCTCTTTCCGGCTACATATGACATTCTATTTCCTGATAGCCTTCCGTTATCCTCCCTAGTTTGAGGCGACGGCGGAGTAGGTTGCTGCAACGGACGCATACGATAATCGTGTGCATTTTGTTCCGAATGTCCGTCTTCTTTGCCTTTAGGCGTTGGGGGAGTCGGCTGTTGTGGACGAGAGAAGGAAGATTTTTCTGTGTGTTCCACCCTGTTTTTGTAAAAATGAGAATGCAAATCAAAATCAGAATAGGGAAATTGCAACTCGAAATAAAATTTTCCTGCATACTAAACTGCAGCTTATATGCATTATCAGCGTCAACTTTATTACTGTCATTGTTACATTGTGAACAATTCCTGTGTGTAATTATATCAGAGATAAACAGCGCTTACCGTCTACCACTACTGGAAGAATTCACATGCCGTGAGTGTGAATGGGACTGTTCTGGTTGTGAATCGGAGTATTTTGTAGAGTGTGAGAAAGTATTTGAGTGAAGTTGGGTGACTGATGACGATGGTTGCGCATGGCCTATTTGTGATTTTTGTGTCTCTCGTCGTTTCCATGCGTCTCTTATCTTGGGGGCGTGTGCAATCAATTGCTCTTTTGTTACAGCATCCCTTATAGATTCTTGTATTTTCGTCACGACAGAACTGTGGTTCGCATGTTGCTTATCGTCACGGAATCGCAAGAATTTCCATGGTGCTTTCGAATCTGCCGTTGGGTCATAGACTGTCTCTACAATTCGACCGTTAAGATCCGAAATTTTGCGAAAAGTGTTCTCCCATTCTTCGTCAGTTACGGTCATTTCACTGAAAAATGTGTGTTCATTCCTTCGCACCCATTTTTTCAGGATAAACCGTGGTTTCACTGTATAATCTGGTCGACCCTTGGTTTTTGGGTATTGAACTTCTAATAATAAGTCTATGGAATTTTCATGAGCTGGCTTCCATTTTAATCTATATTAACAACAGAAGATATCAATGTTAGTACGATATAGAAAGCATGGGTATCAGCAGAAATCATTTGCAAAACCTTACATTTTCTCACAAGTACCCGGAATATACTCTGCTACTGATGATGTGAATATTAACCCATCATTTTTGTGCTTGAGTTTGGGGATTACCTCATCAAAGACCTTGAGAACGCCATACGAAAGCTCCATTTGTTTTACTTCCACGCTACGTATAACGAACAAGGGCGTTTATTTAGAGCGACCCATCTTGTCTTTGTAACATCGCGAAGACATTCCAATGACTTACACAAATGGTTGGCCAGCAGCTATATCAGGATTGGTCTTTCGATATGCGGAGTAAGGTTTGATTAGGGATTCGCAAAGATACTTTAAAACGCAAATAAACGTACAGTTAGTTAAGCAGCTAATTAAGTGGACAAGATCTTTTATCGGTTAGCTCTGACTGTGATAAATGAAGCGTTACATACCCCAAGTCTTTTAGTTAATGGACGTTCGAGCAAACTTTTGCCCATAAAGGCTAGACAATCGAAAGCCAACAGTCTAAGAGTAGTCTATTACGCAGAATAGCAAAATGCTTCGTTAACACTTTTAATATATCTATGAGGTTACTAAGTTTGTCTCATCAGTTCCGGCCAAATATTCTTATGAGAATCCACACTTAATCAAATTGTGACGGAGAAAATGTTCTCCTTTGCGTTTTTTGTTTGTTTTTTTTTTTTCATATTACCCACGTTCTCATTAACTCAATAATGTTCACTTACCGAACCATCGGCTTCTCTATCTAACACCAATTCGCCATCAAAAATCGTACCATCTTGGAACGCTGTAAAGGTATTATCCCCGGGCACAGGGAATTCGATGTGAGGCACGAAACGATACGTATTTTTACGATCAATCTGTTGTTGTTACTGTTAGTCGTGCTCAATCAATGCCAATAGGTCATGATGAGGGTGTTTGCGTGGATAAATACAGACCAGATAAACCTCTTGTTGACTGTTAGCATTGAGCACGATCAGCACCAGTACTCGCAGGCCATCTGTCTTCTCGCAGACAAAGTAGCTAGATAAGGTATAGAAAATATTGGGACCATCATTCAGTACAAGCGTAAAGACATAAATGAATGAAAGATAAGCAAGTTATTGAATAATCGTCAATAAGATTACGACTACTGTTTCTAGCACTGTATTACATTCTTATACACTATTTATTTTTTAATGCGCTCCTAAAATAAGGAAGTCAGCATACTTCTCGCTCTCCAGCTCCTGCAGATGTTTCAAAGAGAAACTTATAGGCTGTGCCCCTACAGTATGCGTGGCATAATATTCGTTTATTTAAGTATATTGCAGTTAGATGAAATATTTGTATAACTTGTACCGAATACTTACCAGGAAAACTGTGGTGTATATGTTATTGATGTGATATTGAGTTAATTGATGAAAGAAGAACAGTAAGCAAGAATGTAATAAATCAACATATGCTACACTAGGTGTTCGTTGATAAGGTGATCGTTCGATACGCTTGTCCACTATTCGTCTACTACTTCAGTTCAACAATCTTGTCTAGCTAACGTGTCTTGTACTAATTATACCTCTATCTCGTTATGTCGCTAGACACTCTCACGACATTTTTATCCTCCTTATTCATTATTTACCCTGCTTGTCCAGTCCTTAGTAAATCTTTAACCCGTGTCTTTAACTCTGCGACTCGATCAGCGTCGACGGGGAGTCCAGGCAAATTAGGTATGGAAGAGTTCATTGTGTCAAGTCCTCCAAAAACACTCTCAAACAGTTTGTTATACGTGATCGAGAGAGAAACAAGAAAATAAGTCCACTCGGCTGTAAGGTGTGTGAGAGTTATTAGTTTTAGGGCAGCATGCTTGGGAGTGGTTGAAATCATTCCATTATGTCGGATTATACATTACATTTCTGTATACAATTTGTAATACTAATCTTAGTTCTATTATTTATATTAAATATGTACATCAGTATTATACGGGATACTCCATTGCGCATACAACCAAAAATTGACAATCAAACGTAATAGGAGCGCCACATCAAGATTTCAGGGGATTTGTTAAAAAAAAAGTAATGCGTTCGCTTTTTTGTAGGATCGACTATTTGAGAGAATACTTTTGCATTTGCCCACCTGAAATTAAGCAGGCTAGGCCTCCCCCAGCCTATAAGGGGCATTCTTATTGGTGCGTATGAGTAAGTAGAAAGCATAAATTTGAGTTAAATGTTTCTCCGTAATATAATCGATAATTTTCTAGTCAATTTATCTCTTACATTCCTTAAACATTCGACCTTCCAAAGTTCTATCTATTATTGCAGTTTGGATATCATTACCGGATAAATTACACATGTTGCCAACCATTCGCTTTCAGCTGTTGTAGCGGTCAAAGTAAATAAAGATGGACTAACAAAACCTCCCTTTTTTTTGTTCATTACTCAGTAATTCACAGAACGTTCGTTGTCTAGCTATTCCATAAAGCAAAAGTCATTTGCCAACGTAATAGAATGACTAGTAACTCTTCATCATTAACTCGGCTATAAAGTTTGCGGTTGGTCCTTTTTTAGATGTCATCCGGTCTTTAATTGATTATCACACATTTCCTTGTTCGATTGATTCCTTCGACCGCGTCTCGCTTACTGGCCCCCCGTTCATTGCGGCACAAACATCTATGTAATCCCCTGCAATTCTTTGTGGCATATGTTTATATCCTTTTATGTCCTACATGTATACATGTGCAAGTCAATAGTTCCATATTTATGAATAACGGATGTCATTGTCCAAAAAGCCGTACGGATATGGCTTAATAGACTGTGGAAAACATTGTCATAAGATCTTCTCATAATAACCTTCCAATCACATCGACTGTTTGTGGCTCGTGACTTTATAAACATTGCGGCTCAAGGATTTATCCCAAAGTGGCTTGGCTTGGTATAGTCAATAGTAAGGAACAATTTGTGCCGCAATGTACCGCATTGTCATCTTTAGAATAAAATGTTCAAATATATCTCGATTGATGACGAAAAAATGCGATATCATCTGAATATAGGACAATTCAATTGATGTATAGATTGTGCGAGAATGGATTCTACCAAAAGCGAAAATTGCTAAACATTGTTAATACGTCAGCTGATTGTTCCGCTCTCCCTTTTTTTAATGTTATGAATCATGTGGGAGTTGTATGAGTAAGTATGATGCAATTCGTATCGATAACATTTGCACCGTCTCTAGGTCATACGATGATGGACTTTCAGCTAGCGGTGAAGAAATACCAAAAAAGCATTCATAGATACTTATTTAAGGAAAAAGGTTTCTCGACACTGGGTGTTAAGTTGGCTAAACACTAATTGACATGATACGTCCAAGAATAGGGATTTTATTTTATAAAGTCCGGAATAAATACGTGTTTATATTCATCTCCATTAGCAGTTATCGTCTTGTATTGGCATTACAGCATTATGCGGAATTAAGTAGAATATAATATTACAACCCCATTACTAAGTCGAACCACTTCTCTTTACCTACAGGAACATTACGTCAGGCATATTTGAATGTTATAACGGTGACATCAACAGTTCTTTCCCTTCCTAAACTACACCGATATTTAGCAAATTCTCGCTACTCATTATCTATCGCACCCTCTTCCTCAACAAAGGTTTTTTTGACAGTCACGTTTAAAAAACTCACTCACCGTGCTGAATTTTGCTTTCTCCAATTAACTTAAACCCAAGATTCTCGTAGAACGGGATCAAATAATCATGACTAATTAACGCAATCCGTTCATACCTTCCCTCCTTCATTCGTCTCACATATTCTGTCACCAAGCGTGTAGCAACTCCTCGTCGTCTAAACAACTTGTCGACGCAAACAGAATGCACACATACAGTTTTACCATTTGCTTCATGTTGGGACATGGATTCGTGAGTAAGACTTGGAGAGCTTGTGAGTGTGCCAACAACAAAACCAATTAGGTAGTCAGAAGCGGAGAGGTAAGCTCCAAGGAAAAGGGAAGGAGCATGATTATAGCGGTATTTTAATATGTCTAGGGTTGCTGCTTCATCCGGTGGGTAGCCTGGTGAAGAGAGAAAAGAGGTCGAAGAACGAATGTGTTGGGATGAGAATAAGATGAGTGAGGGAAAGAAGTTGTTGGCGAATATTAGGAATAATATAGGTGGAAAATAGTAAACAATAAACGTATTAATAGGACAACTTTACTAATTTGTTGTGCACTATATAATGCTCTTACCATGAGATTCTATTTGAAATGCTCGATCAATTTCCGACGCGTTGATTGTTCTGAAGATCACATCATTTGATATCGCCATTATTGATGTTCTGCGAGGAAAAGAAATGTTTGAACATACTGGACATAACATCACAAAACCAAGTCAACTCATGACGTCATTAACACATAATAAACTTGTCTGCATCGGAGTCGCCTCTTCGTCCTTGTGCTCGCCTGTTGTTGACCTTCTCTGGGATGTTTTGTCGTTTACCTGCTGTCAACGTGGGACCACTAGTTGCTCAAGTTGATGAAAAGTTTTTATATACACTTGACTATTTCAAAATTTACGATTGATTGATAAGCTCACCCAATTATATCCAGGAAGCTCAAAATAATAATAATTGAAGTTTCCCATTCGTCAATCTCACAATTTAAGTTTTACTAATAGATTCTTTGAGATGATTTGCACGACAAATCTCGCCGCCAGACAATATCAATAATAAACAGACTATCGTTTTTTGTCGTTCAGACGAATATTTTCGGCATATTGTACATGGAAAATACATACACAAGAAGTTTTGGCATATAGGCGAAGAAACAGAACTCGGTAGATGAGCATATGCACTGTAAAGTCCGGTTTAACGAAGACGGCACTCCTGCTTTGGATACTTCTTACTTAAACATTTTGCCAAGTTATAAGTAAACATAATAATGAAGTTCTGCTTTTTGAACCATTTTATTCATATATTATAGAAATGGAGTCTGCTTTGGCGAATAGTTCTGCATTAACAAATTCAGACGATGGGACGTGACATTCCGTGTAAACTGGATCTTACAGTGTATATTATGTTATCATAGGAAAGCGAGGGCATGCCTGGTTGAGAGGGTCAAGTCAAAGCGTATGAGTGCAGAAGATTAGAAACACATACTCTAAAGCATTTGTTTTGTTAACCGGTATCATGCAGGCTTCCATGATTGTCGGTAAGCCAACGCAACAAACAGTTCTTGACAGTCAATTTGGCCACCAAAATGTGTGAGATTTTTCTTAACAGTCCGACATCATGATTCAGCGGCAGGATAAAGCCTGATGAGAATCTGTTCCTCCCGAATGGAGAAGCAAAATGTGTAAGCTAACGAAGACAACACGTTTAGATGATCCGGGATTAGCTGCTTCAAAATAAGATGCTTATATTTTAGAATATCCAATACTTGATATTAAAGAAAATTTCCAACGTAGATTAATTGAAGACCTTTCTTCATTTCATAGCACTAAGCTTTATTTAGATCAATCTCTCAACATTATGATTTCCACAATTTTTTACCATTGGTTTGTGATATAGTAATGGTTTTTAATTAATCCAAAACATTAAATTTAGTACCATGAATTTAATTTGATAACCACAGATTACTAAAAACAGGTAATAGTAAATATAAAATCAAATAGTAGCATTATTTTATTCTGTCCATCTGCATTATCGCTTTATTCAATTTCTTAATCTCATCGAATACTATGCTCAGAGTACCATTAGGACCTTTTCCTGCCAATTCGTTCTCATCAAGAACGTAATTAACTTGTTCGCGTACCGCTTCATCTTGGACACCAAATAAATGGGCTTTACGTGGACTGAGATAATAGATTTTACTTACCCGTTGACCGGAATGGGGACGTGAACGTTTTGCACTCAATCGTGACTGTAATGAGCGGTAGCGTCATAAATCTGTTTTTGGACTAATGATTTGAATATAAATGTTAATTGATGCCATAACTTGCGAACTGCATCATATTTTAACAATTTCAATGTGTTATTATTCTCGAAATCTGCAATCAAATCACGATAAACCGATGCCTTTGTAGTCCATGAATTTCAGCATATTTTTGAAGAAAAATTTCAGTAACGGTTATATCAATGATTATTTTGGTTTTCCATCGTGGCACCATTTTATGTTACCATGAACGTGCGGTATTATACCATTCGACGCCAGGTAATTTCTGACACTTTCGAAGTGCGCCCCAATTCCTAACATGTTGAGATAAGCTTTTTGGCAAAGGGGCGTATTGCAATCTCAATAATAAAAAGTTCTTTTATTAGTACACGTTTTCTTTTTAAGACATCGACTGGCAATTATTCTGCGCAATTCGTTACTTTTAGTTGGGCAATTAAAAATATATCCTGTCGGTTCTAGAGAGAGCGTCAAACGCTTTACGCAATTCGACAAACCTTTTTCTCGGAATTATTTTTGAATAATACAATTGCAACCTATCTCCAGAAAACGCATATTCAGTCGAATCATTATAATTATCATTTTTTCATATACGGGTAATTCTTATATAAAAATTTTATTAATCCTACAAAAATAGTTATGATCAAAACTCACGATTTTTATCATAGTGAACCTTGCCGGACGATCCGCCTCGCCTATTTTTGTCTTGACTTGCCTTCCCATAGTGTACATGTAATCCTATATCAGCATATAAAATTGTTCATCAGTCATTCAATCAACAACTAATTTGAAGCTTTAATTTATCAAACATTAGTATCAGGGGTGAGACATAGTTGTCATTGTCATGGCAGTTCGGCCATAACATAAACATGTAGTACTAATAAACATGCAAAACGCGTCATATATTCCTTCTATAGAATATTTTATACAGTCAACTCTGCTTATAGCGAACGGTTTGGCACGAGATTCCGGTATATATGTGTATTAATAACAAGTACTGGCGTTTAGATCACGACCCGAACATTTTGACGTGTTACCAAAATTTTCTTGTGAACATCTGACGTCATCGGTGGGTTTAATTTTTGACGCGAAACCTCACAACACGCTTTTCACATACAAGTGCCCCGTCACTCTACATTTATCAGTTGTCCAAATCCTGATCAAGGCCAATGTCAAAGGCATGTTATGGTAAGCTTGAGAATGCTAGCTGTCATTTTTTCTGTGAAAATTAGCATTTTGGTTATTCACGTTTCCGATTAGATTATTTTGTGGAGAAAACGCCAAAAGAATGGAGTGAAATTGACTTCTTGTCATGGCTAAACGAGGAAGACCTTTTCGCCGAAGAGGGGTTACTTATTCACGACAGATGGTCTAGATGGCATCAACGCTTTCATACGGGCTTGGATACCGTCATTTCTCGACACAAGAGTAAAGACGACAACAACCCCGAATCTTTAAGACGAATAAATTCGGCGATTAATCTTAATAAGACTCGGGTGAGTGGATTTCCATGTTTTGCTAGATTATTGGCATGAAAGCTGCACCCGACCACACCGTTATGGCAGGCCGGAGTTCAGGGCAATCTTTTTAGTCTACTGGCTTGAGAGATATGGCCAATCCGTTATGGAGCGGCCCGTTTGGGCATGTGGCTGAGGTTGTAACCGACCACACCGTTATGGCAGGCCGGATTCAGGACAATCTTTTTAGTCTACGGGCTTGGGAGATATGGCCAATCCGTTATGGAGCGGCTGTCTTGGCTATACAACTGTTTGCACTTCTGATCTCTGAATATACCTTTTATTGTTATAGCATTGAATGTTTGCTTTTATACTTTTTAATTTGCTTTTTGTGCCTTTCAAATTTTTGAAGAAAAAGATCCCAACAGAAGTTTGCGAATGGTGGCAGTCATTACTGTCGCAGAGACAGCAACAAACCCTCAAAGACCAGGAGCGGTTGATAATAGCAAAGGACTCTCTGGAACAAGTGAGTTGAAATGTGGTACAGAAGCGAACAGCATTATAAATGAATTTACTCAATAAACCATTTTATAAACAGGTCAAGTGGACAGCAGCCCGCAACCAAAATACACGAAAAAGATTTTTGGCAGCAGACAGCAAAGTGTTATGACGATCACAGAATAGTAATGAGCTTTAGCGTGCTCGCCTGTGTGACTTCAAGTCGTGCTGTCATTAATGTGTGGGCCTCAGTGGTGGGATATGTTGGAGCCCAACTCCTAAGCGAGTACAGCTTGAGATATCAACTCCGCCAACTAATGTCACAAATCAGTGTCAAGTTGATCAAAAGGCCACTTCGACAAATGGAAGGAAGATTCGACCTGCATAAAAAGGCCCACAAACACCAATTTTGCGTCATGAATTATTACTAAAATTGCGCTCATTGACCAACGTGAAGGCCCACACTGATGACGGCTTGTCACTGATATCCAATAATTAAGATTGACAGACTTTAAATTCAACAATGAATAACGAATTTAGCCATATTACCCCGCAATCATACGATTAAACGCGTCACACATTGAATTATGCGATAGCAAAAAAAGATGATAAAAAAGAGACCGAGCAAAACTTTTTTTAATCATTTGACCACCTTTTAAATGCACAGATCAGAATAATCAACTTTCTACCATGTGACAAAGAGGATTTCTCGTCAGACTCCGACTCTGAGATTATACCAGTTTCTCTTACGAACATCTTTCTTGAAACTTCTGTCGAGCTTGAGAGGATTCCAGACCAGACAGCCGAATCGGATGCACCTCGCACTCCCCATCCTCGTCATGCTCACATTCAGTTTATTACCGATTTAAATTATCCACCATATTTTGCCCTGTCATTTTAGAGCGTAAGACAACAATCTACACAATGCACCGTTATAAAGGAGGTTTGCATATTGTTGACATCCTTACCAACTTCACGATTCCGGACAACAAGGACCAGACATGTGTGCTAGATGAAATCGTAGAAAAAGTGTATTCTTTTAAGGTACAAGTCCTGGTAATCACTATATTATAATGTTCGTTGATCTAACATTATATTTGGCATTATAGAGCCGTGTAATGGATTATTACCTTAAGTTGCAGGAAATCTCGTGGAAGGCGCAGAAATATACTCCCTCAAATGAAAATCCGTTAGAAGTGTCACCAGCCAAAAAAAACAATTGCAAAACGATCAAGGGTAGAGGAAATAAGTCCCAAGAAATGATTATTTTCTTTCTTATCGAGGTCACAAGTTTGCTCTCCGATTTAATTCATTTGCTGCACTAATCACGTGATTGTCTCGTAAGGTAAACCGAAGTTAAGTATGGCTTTTACATTGCGTTCTTTGCAAACCCAGCGTTTCCTTGGCATGTAAAACCTATCTGCCTCTGGTGTTGAAAGCGAAACGGATGTATATCAGCTTTCGAATGATGTGTAAGGTTTTGGTTCTTATATCCAACGGTTCCCCGTCCTGTAAAACCTGAGGAGATTCTTCTGCCTCTGGTGTGGAAGGCGAAACGGCTAGCATAGCAAGACTGCATGGTTGAGTTCTCAATCTTCTATGTATGTACTTTGGTCTCTTGATTGTTTAATATTAAAGGTAAAAAATTACCATCCAAACCCACAGAATAGGAATGGACTAACCAGAGGTCAGATAAGACTACAAGTGGACATAGCAACCGCCTTTATGTCACCAAATGCTTGGTCAAATATTTTATTCCATATGTGGCAGTTACAAGCTGCCATTGGCTGTTCATCCTTTCCGCGATTCCGCGAACATGAGAATTGTTCATCGCATATTTTTGACTGATTCCCGGTATTATTATTTATCGAATTTAGTCGATTCCAAAAATGTTGACACGCTTCGCCATTGAGGCGTAGTGACGTCAAAATTTGCAATAATAATACGGGCGCCTTATCCCTTAGTCTGTAGGCCAAATTTTGACGAATTTGCCCCTTTATTTTGTTATGCAATTTTAAGAATATGTTTGT